TGGGTCTCTTTCCCTCTAGGACACCTCTTTCTGAGAGGGGATGGGGCATCAGCAACAAGAACCTGAGCATGTACACAACAAGCCTTCAAATAAGGCAAACCCAAGGCCCTGGGGACACTGGTGCCTCGGAGGTCTTTGCCATGTCACCTGCCCAAACTCAGTCAGCAAGGGGAAGAGCTTTACCTCAAGAGGCGCAGGAGTGAGGGATCCAGGCTTCCCAAACAGCGATCCCTCTGCTGCCTTTCCTTTCCTTTCTTCCTTCTATCCTTCCTTCCTTCCTTCCTTCCTTCCTTCCTTCCTTCCTTCCTTCCTTCCCTTCCTTCCTTCCTTCCTTTCCTTCCTTCTTTCTTTCTGAGAGGGTTTCTCTGTGTAACAATCTTGGCTGTCCTAGAACTCACTTTGTAGACCAGGCTGGCCTCGAACTCACAGGGATCCTCCTGCCTCTGCCTCCTGAGCGCTGGGATTAAAGACACATGCCGCCACCACCTGGCTATTTGCTGCCTTTTCTGAACTATGCTGCAGGGCACTTGTCTTGGACTCAGGGTCTTAGAGAATATGGGGAACCCCTAGGCCTCCTCTTTGGCTCAGGAGCCTGTCCAGTGCCTCCATGGCCATTGGAAGGTAGAGTGGCTGATATGAGCAACCAGCAGCATCCAGGAGGGCTCAGACTCACTGTGAGAGGCACTCAGTGACATGCAGAAATGGACATAGAAAGCAGGTGCCCTAACAAGGAGACTCAGTTCCACCCTCGGAAGCACACCGCTGTTGAGGCAGGATGCAGACGAGGGTGCTGAGGGAAGGTTCCAGAATCATTCTCACAAAAAAGAAAAGTACCGGAGCCCATTGAACCTGTGCCTGTGCTAAGCGTCAGTCTAGAGGAAATAGGGCTACACTGAGACCTTCCACCCAAGAATGGAGAAGAGAGACCAAGCCATGCTGGGAGACCCCGGCTTCAGGCAGGAGAGAGGGAAAGGAGTGGTGGGGATAGAGGGAATGCCTCTGGGCTTGGCTCCTTTCCATGTCCCGAGCATGGCTGTCCTCCTGGACCCACCCGGGGGAGGGGAGGGAGGTTGTCTTTGGAGGGGTCTGGGGTGGGGGCTAAGCAGTTCTCTACTCTCTGACAGCCTGCAGGTCTTCCTGAAGGAGGCAGCTGGGAACCACCCACGTTCGTCTGGCGTCTCTCAACGCCTCCACTGGGGGTCCCAACACAGGAGCCAAGGCACACAGTGGAGCCGGTGTTCCCAAAGGCCCAGCTGTCCCTATCCATTGGGGTCTGGCTCTCCAGCTCTGTCAATGTACACCCCCTGTTCTCCTCCAAGTACAAGAGGTGAAGGCTAGATCAACAGCCTGAGAGGCCTGGTCTAGGCACCTAGAGGGGAGCTTGGTTTGGTGTTGTGGGCAGTCAGAATGATCTGAGCTATAGGTAGAGAGAACACCCTGGGAAGAGCTGTACAGGAAGTGACAAATGCTGTCAACTCTACCTTCTAAGGAGGTTCAGAAACCAGTTCACTCTACCTCCCTTTTCTTGTCAGAACGCTCCGGCAAGGACATCAAACCCGCTCTATTCAACCCAACAAAGACTCCTGGTCTCACCTGGAATGCAGTCTGAAGTGCCCATTGCTCTCCATCTGCCACTGTCCCAAGCTTTCTTCAAATTGCTTATCTAACGCACCATGTATGTTCCACTATTGTTTCTTCTGCATGATTGCAACCTGACTGTCTGGAACACTGTGGCGTGCAGAAGCAATGCTTGACAAATATTTTTGAAACCGATGAATGAGAGCTCCTGAATACAAGTCACTCACTAGCTGTTAGACACTGGAACAAGCATTTAACCCTTCTCACTCTCAGTCTCCTTATCTTTAGGGTAGAACACAAGGATTCCCACATCCTAGAGATGGAGAGAGGACAGAATTTAAGCTGTAGGGATTGTTACCAGGGCTGGAGGAGGGAGGGTGAAGCCCCCTATACCGGCAGGAGGAGCAGTGACCAGGTCGGGTCTCTAGAGAGCAGATGTCCTGAATGTAGACCAGAGGCCACCCCCC